GGGATGAGCCCGGGATGAACCCGGGATGGGCCCGGGATGAGCCCGGGATGAGCCCGGGATGAGCCCGGAATGAGCCCGGGATAAGCCCGGGATGAGCCCGGAATGAGCCCGGGATAAGCCCGGGATGAGCCCGGAATGAGCCCGGGATGGGCCCGGGATGAGCCCGGAATGAGCCCGACATGAGCCCGGGATGAGCCCGGGATGAGCCCGGGATGAGCCCGGAATGAGCCCGACATGAGCCCGGAATGAGCCCGGGATGAGCCCGGGATGAGCCCGGAATGAGCCCGGGATAAGCCCGGGATGAGCCCGGAATGAGCCCGACATGAGCCCGGGATAAGCCCGGGATAAGCCCGCAATAGGCCCGGGATGTACCCGGGATGGGCACGGGAATGAGCCGGGGAATGAGCTCAGGAATGAGCCCGGAATGAGCCCGGGGTGAGACCGGGTGGGTCCGGGATGGGCCCGGGATAAGCCCGGGATGGGCCCGAGATAAGCCCGGGATGGGCCCGGGATAAGCCCGGGATGGGCCCGGGATGTGCCCGGGAATGAGGCCGATGTAAGCCCGGGATAGGCCCGGGGTAAGCCCGGCATCCGCCTCTGCACAGACATGCACCCCGCACCCCGCCAGCCAGGAGTGCAGCCGCACATTCCCACAGACGGAMCCGGACTTACAAAGCACTTTAATGAGATTAAAAAAAAAAAAATAAATAAATAAAAAAAAAAATCATTGCAGACGCGCAAAACACCTGGGCAGGATCGTGGAGCGCCTTTGCTCACCTCGGCTTCACCTCCGGCAGCGCGGCGTCCCCGGCTTGTCACGGCTCCAGCTCCGAGGGGCTGTGACTCAGCAAACGGAGCCGCTTTTTATTTTTCAGATGGAACTTACCAAACCGTGCCAATATTACGGGGAGGATCTGCTTCCCGGCTCCGCTGCTCTGCCAGCCTCTCCCGAGGTATTTCCACTGAGCCCTCCCCATCTGGCTACGTTAYGACAACAGGAAACGCTTTCTTGGGGGGGAAAAAAAAAATCAAATGCAAAGCCTGCATGGGAACCGGGCTGGGCGAGGAAGGAAAGGTTGGCAGAATCTACCTACCCTGGATTGAACAGCAAAGGGGATGTTTCACTGCCAGCATGGAGCTCGGTGTTCCTGCCCGGACACCGGGGGGATCTGTGAGTGTCTGCTGTGAGTGGGAGCTCGGTGTTCCTGC